AGAGAAGATTAATCCTCAAATGCCATTTATGTTGTCAATCCTGGCACTAGTCAATAATGCACCCAGCCATCGTAGACCTCCAACCTCAGTATCCAAAAGATAGATTGACGATAGTAATGCTACGTGGTGAGCAAATCCCTTGAATTAAAAAAAAAATTCGAATCAGATGACTAGTTTCAATCAAGCAATCAGACTCAATATATTCTACACTTCCATGGAGGTGAGATATTTTGAGACAGAGTGGGTCTGGCTTAGACTTGTTTCTCAAGAGCTCATACCCTAGTAGATAAGACCAGACACACAGAAAGATAAAGTAAAGCAGAACATTAAATAGAGGGATGTACTATGATGAATCATTAATTCAATTATGCATACCAGTGCAGTAGACTAAATGCTTATGTGTTCCTCAAATTCCAATCTCTCAGATGATGGTTAAGCAGTGGAACTGGCCAGGCACTGGTAGCTAATACCTGTAATCTGCTCAGGAGGCTGAGATCTGAGGATCATGGTTCAAAGCCAGCCCTGGCAAGAAAGCTGGTAAGACTCTTATCTCCATTAACCACCAGAAAACCAGAAGTGGCACTGTGGTTCAAAGTGGTACAGTACTAGCCTTGAGTGAAAAAGCTCAGGGACAGCACCCAGGCCCTGAGTTCAAGCCCCACAACTAACAATGACAAAAAATAAAAAAAGAAATGGAACCTGTGGAGTGATTCATGAGGGTCTGACTCTCTTGAGTGGGATTAGTGCCCTTTAAAGAGGTCATGAGGTCACAATGAGCTATCCATGCCTCTGGCATCATGTAAGCAGGGGCCTTCAATGGGGAAGGGAGGTTCTGAATTGGTCAGCATTTTGATCTTGAACTCCCCAGCCTCCAAAAATGTGAGGAATGAGATTCTGTTGTTTGTAAGCCATGTAGTCTATGATATATTGTGAACTACCCAAATGGTGTAGGACAAGAAGTTCGACATGGAAAAGAAAGTTACCTGATTCTAGATAGTTTCTATCTTTGGTGGTCAGATTTACATGTTTTTTGTTTTAATCCCCTAAGCAGTTAACAGGTCATTCAATTGAACTTCCCTTTCTACTAATCTTGATTGTTCATCTGACAGAATTACAATGTGCATAAGAGGTGGGTAAAGCCCTCTTCGGGGTGTGTCTGTGAGGATGTTTCCAGAGAGGTTTGTCTAAGGGGTGGAGAGATCTGCCTGTGGGTAACTCCACCCAAGAGCTAGGGGCCTAGATGGAGCAAAAGGAAAGGGGGAAGTTCCACAGTGCAGGGATTCTCTCTCTGCTTCCTAGCTGCCATGATATGAGCTGCTCTGTTCTGCTACCTGACAAAAACCTCTGAAATGAAGAGCCAATGTATACTTTCCTTCTTGTTCTTATGAGATATTTGCCACAGAAAAGTCTAACCTCACATTCTGGGATCCCTGTGGTCTATGGTTTATGTAATCAGAACAGGTGCTTGCTGTCCCAAACATGACTAGCATAAAGAGACCCAGACACATTTTAATTTGTTCAATTTTTTTTTTAGAGAGGGGCTCAAACTCCTGGCCTCAAGTAATCCTCCTGGCCCAGGCTCCTGGTTGGCAAAGACTGCATGTACACCCAGATTCAGCTGCACACATATTTTTCTACTTATGATTACTTCTGCACAACTCTTAACACTGTTATTCCTTAAAGAGAATTAAAGAGAATCCAAGCCATGCACCAGTGGCTCACACTTGTAATCCTGGCTACTCAGAAGGCTGAGATCTGAGGATCTAAGTTCAAAGCCAGCCCAGGCAGGAAAGTCTGTGAGACTCTTTTTTTGGGGGGGGGGGGAGTCTGGTCGTGGGGCCTGAACTCTAGGCTTGGGCGCTGTCCCTCAGCTCTTCAGCTCAAGGCTAGCACTCTACCACTTGAGCCACAGCGCCACTTCCGGCTTTTTTCTTTTTGCTTATGTGGTGCTGAGGAATCGAACCCAGGGTCTCAAGCATGCAAGGCAAGCGCTCTACCACTAAGCCACCTTCCCAGCCCCTCTGTGAGACTCTTAACTTCAATTAATCATCAAAAAGCCAGAAGTGAAGCTGTAGCTCAAGTGGTGGAGCACTAGCCTTGAGTAAAAAAGCTCAAGGGCAGCGCCCAGGTCCTGAGATCAAGCCCCAGGACTGGCACAGAAAAATAAATGTTTTTCTTTTTTTCAAAAAGGACACAAATGTTGACTTTTAACAATGCTACCCAATTAGCCTCTTTATAAAGGTTGGTCAATTACATGCTCACTTTCCCAAATCCTTCATTGCACTTAACATCATCACCTTTTTAATGTGTTCCTCATTTGATCTCAAAGCAATATATTTTCATTCACATCCCTTGAATACTTGCTTTTTTAAAAACATGTTTTAGCTATTTTCTTTTCTTTCTTTTTCCCCTTTCTTTCTCCTCCCTTCCTTCCTTCCTTCCTTCCTTTCTTTCTTTCTTTCTTTGTCTCTTTCTTTCTTTCTTTCTTTCTTTCTTTCTTTCTTTCTTTCTTTCTTTCTTTCTTTCTTTCTTTCTTTCTTTCTTTCTTTCTTTCTTTCTTTTTCCTGGGGCCTGAACTCAGGGCCTGGGAACTATCCCTGAGCTTCTTTTGTTCAAGGTTAGCACTCTACCACTTGAGCTACAGTACCACTTCCAGCCTTTTCTGTTTATGTGGTACAGAGGAATTGAACCCAAGGCTTCATGCATGGTAGGCAAGCACTCTATCCCTAAGCCACATTCTCAACCAATTTTGGCTATTTATAAAACTTCTATAAATGTATTCACATCTATTGTCTATTTATCCATGGGCTATTTTCTCTTGTTCACTCTTTTTTTTTTCCACTATTGGGGTTTGGCCTGAGTGCCTCATGCTTGCTGGATGGGCATGCCTTCTGTGCTATCCTGCTCAGCATACTCTCAGACCTCTCTTACTCACTCTTACATATTCACCACCATGTCCTCACACCTGCAAGTAGAAATCCCATCTCTATCCACTCGAGTCGGGAGTCTGCCATCAGCTGAGAGCCCAACATCATCTCAGGACATTGCAGCTTTATGAATTAATGTATCACTTACTGTCTTCACACACAATCACACAGAAGTGAAAGACATCTACTAGCTACAAAGGACCCAGAGTTTGAGGAAGCTCATACAGAAAGAGCATCACACTCACACCCCCAGCCATGAAGTTATTTTCTTCTCTTAAATAATTTCATGTGGAACAGCAGTGAGCACAGCACACTTCAGCATACCACTAAAGAGACAGAGCCATCTCTACACACAGAGGCACAATATGAAAACAAGATACACACCTTCATTGGTCCATAGAAAAATAGCTGGAGATTGCTTAAAAGGTAGAAGGTGCACAAGAAATGGCAAGAGCTTGGCTTCAATGGTGCATGTTAGGCTTTTTCTTTAAATTCACAGATTCTTATTTTACGATAAGTATTTAAAAAGATTAATAATAAAATTAGTGATATTGGTTGCTCAACTTTGGATGCCCTAAAAACACACTGAACTCTGCACTTTAAAAAAAGGGCAAATTTTATGGTATATATGTATATTTTGTCTAACAAAAGGTGCCTTCCTTTTTTCCTTCTCCTTCCCTTCCTTCCTCTTTTTTCCTCCCTCTTTCTTTTCCTTTCTTCTTTCTCTTTCCTTCTTTCTCCTTTTCTCCCTTTCTATCTTCTTGAAACAGGATTCCATTATATTAGGCAGGCTGGTCTTAAATTCCTTAAATTCAAGTTATTACATTCAGTCTCCTTAGATAGGATTAGCATGTACCATCATCATCATGCCTGGCTCTAGACTTGTTATTATTATTTTTTTTGAGGGGGGTCCGGTCGTGGGGCCTGAACTCTGGGCCTGGGCACTGTCCCTCAGCTCTTCAGCTCAAGGCAAGTGCTCTACCACTGAGCCACCTTCCCAGCCCCTTGTTATTATTTTTTAAAGTGAAATTTAATAGCTGAACGACTACTGATTTAATTTGCCACTCCGTGAATGCAAAAGATGCCATTACAATACAGATATACTTATAAGCAAAGGTGGACAAATTAAAGTTAAATGCCTGCTTCATACAATATTGGACCTGAAATTTCAGTGTTTCTTCCAATGTTGACAGTAATTTTGTGGCCTACATTTCATTCAAATGTCTGATTTTTTTGTTTTGTTTTTGCTTTTCTTTGTTGTCTTGGTGGTACTGGGGTTTGAACAAAAGGCTTTATTTTTGCTAGGCAGGTGATCTACTACCTAAGTCATACTCCCACTACATTTCAATTCTCTTTCTTTCAGATAGGGTCTACCGCTTTTGCCTGGAGCTGACCTGGGGTTGCTATTCTACCACCTATGCCTCCCATGTAGCTGGGATTACAGATATAAACCACCACTCCTGGCTCATTTGGTGAGATGGGGTCTCACCAACTTTTAATCTAAGCTGGCTTTGAATGTGATACTCCTGATCTCCACCTCCCAAGTAGCTGGGATTAAAGGCATGAGTTATCATATCTGGCTTCTGATTATCTTCCAAAGGCTTCATAATTTAGGAAGAACATTGTACAGACAACCTTTCAGAAAAGTCTTCCTGCTCTGTCTGCTGTGGGGTGACTGCCCCCCAAATACCAGTCCATTCCAAAGACAGTGAAAGATATCATATTTCAGCTCTCACTGCTGCCTGGTGAGTCTGATTGCTATGACTTTCCCTCCTTTCTAATAGACATTGCTTCTTGTGTTTGTTGGATAGGAAAGTCCTTGACTAAGTGTGACAGGATTATGTGCAGAGGAAGAGGCAGAGCCCCCTAGAGGTCTAAGTGTGTAGTGCAGGGAAGGGCTGGCAAGTGCTGTAGCCACGTGGCTTAGCTTTCACATGTCTATGTGCTTTGCTCTTCAGGTGAGCAGCAGATCATCCAGGTATTTTTGTACATGACAAACAATAGAAAAAGAAAAGGTAGCTCTGTCTCTTTAATTTTGCACCTCCGAGCAGCTGCTCCACACCATTACCATACCTTCCTCACCACTGGTGGTCTCCCTGTGGACATTCTTTGTAAGTTTAGTGTCCTCCGTGGCCATGACTTCTGAACTGTTACTGAAATACAAAGTACAGCATGCAAACATATGAGCACAGTACTGAGAGGGCCTGGCGCTGTACTAGCAATCCTGTGGTTGGTCCTCCACCTTGGTGAATGGGAGAGAGGGAGAAGACAGCGCAGTAGCTCTACGAAAACACTGCAGTGCTGGGCGCTTGTGACTCACGCCTGTAATCATAGCTACTCAAGAGGCTGAGATCTGAGGATTGTGGTTTGATGCCAGCCCAAACAGGAAAGTCTGTGAGACTCTTACCTCCAATCAATTACTCAGAAATAGCCAGAAATGGTACTGTGGCTCAAGTGGTAGTACAAGCCTACCACTAGAGCGCTAGCATAAGGAAGCTCAGGGACAGCGCCCAGGCCCTGAGTTCAAGCCTCGGACTGGAAAAACACAAAACAAAACAATTTTTTAAAAAAAGCAATCAGGCGCTGGAGGCTCACGCCTGCAATCCTAGCTACTCAGGAAGCTGAGATCTCAGGATTGCGGTTCAAAGCCAGCCCGGGCAGGAAAGTCCATAAGACTCTTGTCTCCAATAAACCACCAGAAAACTGGAAGCGGTGCTGTGGCTCAAGGGGTAGAGTGCTTGCGTTTAACTGAAAAACTCAGGGACAGTGCCCAGGCCCAGAGTTCAGGCCCCATGACTGACAAAAAGAAAAGAAAGAAAAGAAAAATACTGCAGTGATAACTGCCTAACACAGTCCAAGACAGCAGCCACTGAGCTCATCCACAGGTCACTGCTGGCCCTTGTCCTGAGCAAGAAAACCCTGTGCTTCCCATTCCTGGAAAGGAAATGCAGGGTTAGTTCATGATGCTTTCTCTTTTATTATTAGCAGAATTGGTACTTATATTGGCTGAAACCACTTTATCCCCAAACTGTATACATGGAATTTAATTGCCAAAGTTACATTCCTCTCACATTTCAAATGTTTTATTTCAAAATGATCTCTAATACCCAAATATTCATGTTTTATTATAGTGCAATTTCTCATAACCCTCTGGGCTAAGTGAGGTTTATAAAAATGAGAAGAATATGTAAAAGCATTTTCTAGTCCTGCATTCTTTTCCCAGTAACTCAAAATTCTTTGCTTATATTCTTTTGTGTGTATATGCTAGTCAATACCAGGGCTTGAACTCAGGCCCTCAATTTCACTTATTTTGCTTGTTGAAGGCTGGTACTCTTGCCATTTGAGCCACACTTCCAGTCCAGCATTTTTCTGGCTAAGAGAGATGAAGTCTCACAGACTCTTCCTCCTGTCTGGATTCAAATCACAATCCTTTGGATCTCAGCCTCTAGAATCACTAGAATAACAGGGCATAGGCCACCAGCGCCTAGCTTAACACAAAACACCACAGCATTAGGGTACTTTCAGTTTTGCTTAATCTGAAAATATCTCTATTCACTATAATTAATTCACTGTAATTAATCAATTTACTATCATAAACTATAATTCAGTTTTGATCTATCTTAGCTAACTCTTTAGCTGCATTATTCTGTACTTGCTAACCTTTAAAATCCTATCGTTACTGAAGAATGGCTATTTCAAAGCTTTGTTACTTTTCTCTTTGGTCCCATGGCCATACTGAAGTGAGTGACACAACATTGCTTCTGGATGCAATTTCCTGGGCTTGACTTAACAAACACCCTTTGTTAGACTGCTCTCATATCATTTACACTTTATGGTAGACCTATTACCACTGTGTGATGTCATAAGGCCTGTGACTACCTTTTACAACCTACCCAGCTAATCGTGGATTAGAGATCCAGTTCACTCTAGAACAGAACACTTTTAAGCATCTCATGCCTAGCCACATTGACTTTTACATTGCCTGTGTTGGTACAAATTCCAATCCATTTAATCCAAGCTATTCAGTACTTACTGAGTGTCTAGGACATCCACAATATCGAACTATGCAAGCACAATAGAAAAAAGGGTATAAGTCATAGCTAATTTTTTTAAAGACCAAATTTGCATTCTATACAGAGGCAGGACAGAGAATGTCTCAGTTCTGGAATATTAGAAAATCACAGGTTTCTTATACGTATCTTTGACTATGTCAACTTGCCTTCCAAGTTTGCAAATGTGTCCCTAAGGTTATGTACATGGCATTGGGCAGACAGCAAGGAGTAGGGAGCAATTTTGTTGAAGAATGATTCTCATAACTTAGTATCTACAACAGAATCTCCATAGACTTGTGTGATTCTCTACTCAGTCTGCATGTTTTCCAGAGGAAATTATATGCTGTGGTGAAATGATCAATTTGGGAACAAAGACCATCTTAGATGCATCATTTGAAGATCTCCATAGTCTACTTCATAGTATACTTTTTTAGTCACCCCTTTTGCACACACCCTTTCTTTTGGCAGGGACTTTGAACTAGGAGGATCAGTGCTGTAAGGCTCAAGAAGGGACTAAGCATGTCACTGGGGGGAGGGGGGAGGAGGGAGGGGCGGGATTCAGCAAATGTGATGGTAATGTGCCAAACAACCTCATAGGTGGAACCCACATTTCTCTGCCCTGCAGGGTGAAAGGAGGCTGAGATTAGTTCATCCCTATCCCCACTTCATGTCAGCAATGAAATCTGTGTGGACTGTCACAGATGATTCATTCCACATTTTGTGAGATAAAGGCTTTTTAGATTCAATGGTTTACTCTGCATACAACAATAACATGGGTCCCCACCTCAGAGCCTTATAAAATGAACTTTCAGACTCAAATCATCTACCACTTAGTCCATCTTTTTTTTTTTCTTGTCTCCATTTTTCTGCTTTGTCTTAGGGTGACCTTCTTCCAGGGAGTCAGCCCACCATCAACCTCCTCAGTTACTGTGTTTCGACTTAGTATTGGTATCCAGTCCCGGTGGGTAGCTATAGTACTGGACAGATGTGCTGACACCTGCCGGGCAGTGGCCATGCTACCATGGTTCAAAGTGAAAACTCCCAGCATAGTGTCACACCTTGAACAAAACCAGGAGCATTACTCTTTCTTCTGAGATCCATAGGCTACATTTATATAGTTAGGAAGGGTTTGAAAACCTTTGAGGGAAGAGGCCTCTACTGGTGTTTGTGGCTATCTCTGCAGCAGATACTAAACAAGCCATCTGCCAGTTACCCATGGATGTGTGTCACAGATGTGTCCTTGTTTTGAGAATTACTGTTCCTTATTAATAATGTCATCAGCGGTGGCCATGGTGCTCCACACAGCTCTCCCTTGAGGGATGCTGGCCTGGCACCGGAAGAACATCAGTCCTGGGGCAAGTACAATCATGGCTGTTTCCAACCCCTAGAATCTTTGGATGTGTTACTTCTCAGGGCAAAGGAAACTCTGCAGATAGGCGGAAAGGAGAAATGTTCAAATGGGAAGATGAGCCTAGATTATCTGGGTAGCTCAATGCAGTCATAAAAGCCCTTAAAAGATGGAGCCACGTGAAGGAAGGGGTGACTTTGTCCAAAAAGAAATGTACTTATTACCTGACCTGTGAAATGGTAAATCCTCTGTAAGTCACCTTTATATTAACAATAAAAATATTTCATAATAATAAAAAAGGAAAAGATGAAGAGATATGGCAATGGAATCATAGAGGGAGAGAGACCCTGGAGAATGCTACCTTGCTGGCTTTGGAGGAGAAGAAAGTGGCCACAAGCCAAGGAAGGCAGGCAGCCGCCAGAAGCCAGAGAAGACAAGGAAAGCGACCAATCCTTCCCCAGAGAATCCAGAAGGAACCACTAACCTTGTTGACTCATTTTAGACTTCTGACCTCTACAACTACAAATTGTATGGTTTTAAGCTACAAAGTCTGTGGTAATTTGTTACGGCAGCACATCCCAAGAAAAGTTATCAGGGTTTCTGTGAACAAATAGTTTAGAGAATATCTCCTCAATGCCTATAAGTTGAGAAGTCTTACAATAATGAATCCTGTTAAACTTTGTTTAAATAAGAATTTTCCAAAAGCCTTTAACTCTGAAAGAATACCTTTGGAACCTTTGTTTAGTGTTATGGTGCCAAGGGACCTATTTTGAGAAACAATGATGGTAATGGAAAGAGATACAGACATCTTTGCAGCTATTCCCCAGACTGAAATTCTGTCCGTTAATGTCATTTGCTAGATCATTTCTGAGTATCCGTTCTGGCTTAATATTGTCACAGGTGTTGGGGTGAGGGTGGAAGGGATAAGATATGAAGACATAAAGGAAAATATCACTGGCTCCAAGGGGGCCAGCCTTTAGTAGAAGATGGGATGATAGATTTACAGAATCTATGATAGGAGATTAAAAAAGTATAATAGGAGATAGATTTCTCAAAAGTCTTAAGCCAAGTAGAGCTTAAACCTCTGTGTATATATGATGGGGGTGTGGGTTGATAGATATGTTTTATAGGAAAAAAAGAGGTCTGAAGTCAACCTGGACAGGAAACGCTTACCTCTAATGAACCAGTAAAAAGCCAAAAGTGAAGCTGTGGCTTCAGCCTTGAGTAAAAAAGTAAAGGACAGAGCCCAAGCCCTGAGTTCAAGCTCCAATACCAGCAAGAAATATATATATATATATGCATAATATATTATGAATACATTACATAATGTACATAGATGCAAATCCTTAATAAAATTCAAGCTCAGTCTTAGGTGTTTTGTTTGAGGGTATTTTTCTTCATGAACTGGACTTTCTATGGCTTTTATTTTATTGAGGCTTGAACTCAGGGCCTGGGCACTCTCCCTGAGCTTTTGTGCTCAAGGCTAGAGCTCTACCACTTTGAGCCACAGCTCCATCTTTGGGTTTCAGGTGGTTAATTGGAGAGAAAAGTCTCATGGACTTCCTGCCTAGGCTTGCTTCCTCCTGAGTAGCTAGGATTACAGGCATGAGCCACCAGTGCTTGGCTTTCTTTGACTTTAAAAAACCCATGCTCCATAATGTTTCCAGGCATCGCTTTCCCTGGGTACTACTTCTGGCCACAGGACATTGTTCGTGGCTCTGAACTTCAAGAATTAATGATTTATCTCAAAGAG